CTATCAATATTAACTAAGCTGGTTCTAAGAAAACTGAATCTATATAAGCAAATAAAATATATTATGTGTGATCAAGAAGAAGAAATAATAGAATACTTGCTATAATTCCTAACTTACAAGACTCAATGAAATGAGGCTTGGCAAAAAGGAATGAAAAGAATCTTTAAAGGATTTAGAAAACTTTCAAAAGAAAGAAAAAAGAAATCTAAAAAGAAAGAGTTAAACTTAATAATAGATGATAGAATAAAAATAGGTGAAATCAATGAACAGATAACAAAACTAGTAGAAAGAATTTTAAAAACCAGTCAGAATATATTCAGCTTCTGTATATGATTAATAGAGAAAGATCTAATTGTAAAAATAGCTGATCTGAAGTATTGCAATAAAAGAATTGAAAAAGAGACAAAAAGATAAATAATGAAAATGCAGAAAAAAGTACATAACCACTTCTAAACGAAAATATAAAATATGAAATGTAAAAAGATAATCAAGTGGAAACAGATATTAGAAATCCATAAATACAATAAGATAAAAAGACCAGTGCATCTACAGGGCAGGAAAGAAAGAGCAAAAGTATAGAAAGATAATCTAATAAGAAGTTGGTATATGAAGAAAAAAAATTAAAGACAAAAATCCTATTAAATAGTATGAAATATGGTATAGAATAATTAGGGGTTTGTCTCTGTCAGAGCTCAAAAGAATGATTTATAGTAGTGAATTGTAGGCAATAATATTAGAAGTTAGAAGGGTCTTTATCTGAATCTCTAATGAAGCAATAAATCACTTCTGAAGTTGCACTTAAAAAAATAATATAACTGAAATGAATGAATTAGTTAAAGAATTAGTTTTAGTATTTTATTTAATATGTATAGTCTACAAATATTTAATAATACATATATAATTAACCTGATAGAGAAAAAAAACCCAATCTGAATATTTGTAAAAAATATATATTATTTACAAACTTTATTTGGATTTTCTTTTATTTCAAAGCATACCAATATAAAGTTTTGTTTTTTTTAAGATATATGAGTATTTAGTATATAGCAAATTTTGACTTTTATTTTTTTAATACTTGGATTACTAAATATGAATATGTTTTATTTATTTTAAAAAGTCTTGCTAAATAAATATTTTGATTTATTATAATATTATTAATATTATTATTTGACAACTTTATTTTAGTAAAGAGACCTATGAGTCAATAATACAGTAGTAGCATTCTCAGATTACCAAATACTGTTTCTAAGTTCAATCTACTATGAGACAGTATTATCTAAGCCTAAGTGATACAGAAAAATCCTATTTATCTTATAATGATAATTACTGTCACCTATAATCAAGATCTCATTCAATCATGGGATAATCAAAGATTATAAGATGCTTTAGTCAGTTTTAATTCTGAAGTTATCTTATTACAAGACAGGTTTCAACAAGCTCCTGCAAATAGATTAAAGATTTGCATGTTGTAAAAAAAATGAACTAATAGAGCTTAGACACATTAGTAAGAAAAGGATTTCTATCAAAATTGATATCCATTTAAAACTCTATATGGTCACCCTATAGTCAGGCTATAATAGGTTATGTAAAAAAAATTACCAATAAAACGAAATAATATTTAAGACTTCATATAGGTATTCTGTAAACATATTATAATAAGTACTATAAAAAAAACACCTGATGGAATAAGATATAAAAAAGATCCTATGTTACAGTCCTGAAGCTTATAGAGTATTATATATGAGGATCAAGGAAAGATAATATAAACATAAGTAATTAAGTAATAGTGCTTCTTTCAACAATATACCATATTGTCAGGTTATGCCTGAAAACGGGTTTACGTTAAATGCACTATAAAGACATCTATTCATGTAGATATTTTTATAGATATATATAGCTGATATGTACCTTATATAGTTGAAATTTTCTATATATATGTACAATCTTAATATATAAAACTGAGCCTTGTTATTTCTTAAAAAAAAAAATTTTTTTAGTAAAGATTATTTTTATTATTTTTATTTCTATTAATATTATCTAAATGTTCTCAAGGTTAATATTAATACTGTATATTTGTATTGTTTAATATATACTCTTATTCTAATCTTATATCTTGCATAGCTATATATATTTATATTTTTGATTTCACAATATTTTTTAAAATATTTTTTTAATTAAAATCTGTTTATTTTTTAATAAATATATATTAAATTAATATAAAGAATTCTTTCACTTTTTTTAAGTTTTAGTTCTTTGAAAAATTTTTTCTTGTTATTATGGTAATTTTATTTTTTAAATTATATTCTATTTTCTTTTGCTTTAGAATTTAACTTTTTAATACTAAAATTTTTTTTTTTTATAATTTATTTCTTTTAAAATTTTTTTTTTGTTATTATGATAATTTGATTTCTTAAATAATATCCTATTTTCTTTTATTTTAAGATTTAACTGTTTAATGCTAAAATTTTTTTTTTTTTATAATTTATTCTTTTAAGTATTTCAATAGATTTTTATTTATTGATATAAAAAATTACCTATTCATTTCTATTTAAAAATTTTTAATTTAATAAATTTTTTTAATTTGTGAATAATTTTAACAAACTATTTATGTATATTATTGTTTTTTTTCTAATATTTTTTATAATTTTGCTAATTATGGCATTAATTTTATAAGTTACTTTTTTGTATATATAATAAAAATTGTTTATTATAATTTTTTATTCATTTTTAAAGTAAATATTAAATTATGTAATATTTAAGTCTTGTATTATCTTTTAAATCTCTTTTATAATTAAATTTTCCTAGTTATTTAAGTAAATTATTGATTTGTTTTTTATGATTTGTTTATATTCTATATTTATAATAATTTTTATTAATTGATTATTGTTTTAGTTACTTATATTATTTTTTATAATAATATTTTAGATATTTATTTATTCTCTAGAAAATATTATTGTAGATTTTTTTTCTTTTTTGTTTTATTGTTAAAAATATATGATATATTGAATCAAAATACATTCTTTATGAAAAAATTGATTTGTTTACTTTTAATATTCTAGCTATTATGTTATTTAAGACTATATGGATTTTTAGAATAAATATTTGATCACAATTATTGATCATTTCTTCTTTTTATTGAAGTATTTATTATATTATTCACTATTTACTCTTTCTTTATACTTTTTTACAAGGTTAATAAGAATATTTAATATTTTTTTTCTCTATTTTATACTATTTGTAATATTGTTTTAGATCTATTTATACCTTTATAATAATACTATAGTTATTTATTTATCTTTTTTTTTTAGGGTTAACAAAAGTTCAGTTTATTGAGTTTATTAGTTTATAAATTTGTGACATACAATTAAAAGTTATGGATTTGTAAAGACTATATTATTAATCTTATAACCTATCATCATATTGAAAGTTTCATTTTTGTATAAAAATAAATACAAAGTAAGAGAAAAATAAAAGTAATTTTTGAAGTTACTTTTCAAGTTGATTTATAAAAAAAAGCAAGACTTTATTATTATAAAAGTATAAAACTTTTTATAAACATCTTTTTTATATATTGTCAAAGGATTAATAAAAAGAATTTTATTTTTTTTTTAATTGTTTTAATATTTAATTATCCTTTCAATATTAATGATATACTTATATATTTTTAATTTATAATTGTAAAAAAAAAAAACAATTTATAATAAATTTTTATTGTTTAAATTATTGATTTCTATTAAAATAAAAAAAAAATTAATTTTAATTATTAAAATTAACTTTTATTTGAAAATGATGATTAGATATATTTATATTGAAAAAGTTTTATATTCAATATTTATTTTATAATTAAAATGACAAAAAATATATATATAACTAAAAATAAAATAATTATCTAATTTAATTATAGATTAATTGAAATATAAATAAATAAATAATTTATTATAAGCATTGTATTAAGTATCGATTTTTTTTTACCCACACATTTAAATGAACCTCTAATATAAATAAATAATTTGAGTAAAACCTTTTATTTCGTACTTACCATATATTTCATTTAATTTGTTTACATAACAAATAGTATTAAAAAAAAAATTAAGATCGATGCAAGATGATCGAGATACCAACTATTGTTTCTAATTGAAGCACGATCGATTTTTATGATGTCAGAATGACTGCAAAATTACGTCACGCGTAAATACATTGGTCCTTGAAGAATTAAACATACATTATATAAAAAATATTTGATGGATCATGTTGCACACCTCAGGGTGCTTTGTTTGTATTTATGCCCTTAACTGAACTCCAGACACTAAGAATCGCGAGGAGACAATCAGTTAATCATAATAATAACAATAAATCCTGACCAGATCCAACCATAACACCAATAATACTCACTTGGCAGGATGTCGAGCAATTCAATTCCAAAAGAAGGTTGTTTGATATCTTTCATGCATGCTCACATGTTTGTTTCTAACAATGAATAATTAATCATCCAAATATGATAAATAAGGAAAATTTTTTTATGTCGAATATACAGATTTAACAAGAATTCAAATTTTTTTTTACACTTGCTACCGTTCCAACTTACTTGGAAAATCACCTAATTCCTTTTAGCAGTATATGAATTCTTCGCCCCTAACAAAGTTTATCTCATTCATTGGGAAAACAATTTTTCTACTCTCACTTGATCTCTTGAAAACCTTTAACCCAGTCACCATATTAAGCGTTCTTATCAGAACATTCAAACTGATTTTCCAACCAATGATGACGCTCGTGAACTCGAGAAAAAAAAAACGCGCCAAAGAAATCTCGTCTGACAAAGATCGTCGCCCCCCACCACTCAAGATTTCTCCAAATCGACGTAGGCGTTCCGTCTCGTTTCACGACCTTCCGTCACTCACCTCGTCTCGTAAGGATAGATTGACGCATCATACTCTTCCGTCATCCAACGCCCATAGTGTCATTCAAGATTATGAATGCTTCCAGCAAAATTTAGAAGCTGTTCACGAGGACGGAGACACCATCAGGTCTTGTTCATCCTCCTTCGCGTCGTCATCTCCATCGTCTCCCACCGATCTTACTTTCACTCGTACATCCACTACCGATATCAATTTTACCAGCGTAACTTTCTCCTCGAACCTGTCAACCACCAACCCACTCCCTTCAACTCTTCGCGAGATTCTCTCCGAAGTATGCGAAATCGTGATATTGGCTTCAAGCACAATTATTTCCTTGTTGGCGTTGAATCCCTTACTCTTTGTTTCTTTCATAATTGCTACCATCATTACTCTACCTATCTGGATCGTGCTAGCTCCGGTGGTGTGTGTCCTTATTGGGTTGGTGTATTTTCAAATTGTGCCTGTGGCTTATTTTTTACTTTGGACCGGGCTGAAGGTAACAACGGGGGTTAGAAGGTTGAGGATAATTAGGAATGGTAATTAATGTGTTGTGGTGCTTGGCATTTGACGCTTTGAGTTAAACCGAAAGCACACTACTTGGTTGTACATAGGTAGAATTCGATTTAAACTTGTAAGGCGACTCCTTTTTAGTGACAGGTGAAAAAAATGAACGTGATAAATTTTGCGAATCTATGCGTCACGTGACACATGATGAACATCCATTTTAGATGGTGACTTCTCTTCAATGTCACACAAACGAGGGATAAAATCAAAGTTTCTTAATTAAAACAGATTCACGTGTATCTCTATAAAACAAAACTTTCACGCTTTTAATATTAACTGCTGATACATTGGTGACTGAATCCAAGAACAAAAATCCGTATAATTATTCATGATAAGAAATTTTTTATTTTATAATTAACTTATATTCTATTAAATAATTTTTTGAAGCCTAATTTTGTTTCTCTTAATAAAATATTTCCTTTTACCTTATAATATATGTGCGTATAATATAATCCTTTTGTCAAGTGTAGAATAATAAGTTCTCTATTTGCGATTGAATTATATGTGCATTGTGAAAAATTACCTTCGTTCATGATTGAAAAATCGAGCTTTAGTGACCAACATAAAAGTTGAAATGTCAAATAACATCAGAATTCATCACAAGGAGTATTGGAAGGACCTTTCAATTCTCATGACTACCGATGAGAATCTTCCCAGTCTTTCCACGAAAATGGTAACAATGATCATTAAGAAAAAAAATCACAATGGAAAATCGAAAACATGAGATGAGCGAAAATCCACGAGAAGAAGTACCTCAGTTGATAATTTTTTACAAATATATGAGAAGAATTCCAGGAAAATCAAAAAAAAAAAAAAAATATATACTGTATATATGGATAATTATTTTTGAAAGTATTAAAAAGATTAATTAAAAATTTTCAGTGACCTTTTTTTGGATACATAA